ATAGTTGAAGACTGACTGACTGACTGACTGACTGACTGACTGACTGACTGACTGACTGACTGACTGACNGTCTTCCAATATCTCAGGGGTTGCCCCAAAGAAGAGGGAGTCAAGCTATTCTCCAAAACACCTGAGTGTAGATCAAGAAGCAATGGGTGTAAACTAATCAAGGAGAGAAGCAACTTAAAACTAAGAAGAAATTTCCTGACATTTAGAATAATTAATCAGTGGAACAACTTACCACCAGAAGTTGTGAATTCTCCAACACTGGAAGTTTTTAGGAAGAGACTGGATAACCATTTGTCTGGAATGACATAGGGTCTTTTGCTTGAGCAGGGGGTTGGACTAGAAGACCTCCAAGGTCCCTTCCAACTTTGTTATTCTATTCTGTTCTGTTGTAATGAAAAGAAGGACTAGTCTAGGGGAGACATGATAGCACTATCATAGCAGTCTTCCAATATCTCAGGGGTTGCCCCAAAGAAGAGGGAGTCAAACTATTCTCCAAGGCACCCGAGGGCAGGACAAGAAGCAATGAGTGGAAATTAATCAAGGAGAGAAGCAACTTAGAACAAAGGAGAAATTTCCTGACAGTTAGAACAATTAATCAGTGGAACAACTTGCTTCCAGAAGTTGTGAATTCTCCAACACTGGAAGTTTTTAAGAAGAGACTGGATAACCATTTGTCTGGAATGACATATAGGGTCTTTTGCTTGAGCAGGGGGTTGGACTAGAAGACCTCCAAGGTCCCTTCCAACTCTTCTATTGTATTTGTACTTAACGACCGCAATTGAGCCCAGCCAGAAACTGAAAAACCAGAAGCCAGCTATACGATTTTGGGCCGCTTCAATTCTTAACACCTTCCTTATGGCAAGGGTGTGAAGGAGCCCTTTCACACACACTCACTCACACACAATTCATTGCCACATTTCCCAGCAGCCGCACACCATAAACCATTTTAGGAAGGCGCTTTAATAAACACTGTGAAAAAAACAATAGACCCTAATAGAAACCATTCTGGTTTTTCTTCCTGTTTTCTCTTCTCCTTTTCCCCCACTCTTCACTTGCTTTGCATTCCGTTTCCATTAGTCTGTCTATTAAATTTTTTTAAAAATTAATTAAAAAACGGCCTACCGCAAGCCAGAGCAATAAAATATTTTCCCAGGGAATGAGATGTCGAAGGAAGTAAAACTGGAAGAACAAGAAGAAAAAAATTGGTGTCCCACCGTCTCAAATTCGGCACCACCTCACCGTAGTCATAAAAAGTGATGGCTTTTCATGGTTTACGGCCAGGGTGGTTTATCCTGAGACAAAACTGGATCGGTTTCTTGCATTCCACATTGCTGGCCGAGCTATTTGCCTTGTGACGAGCTGAGGACGAGGGTGGGATGGGAATGGGGTGAACCACCCTTCTCAGATTCCTTTGAGGCAGGGGTGTCAAACTCAGGTTGACATCAAGGAGCTGGGTGGGCACGGCCAACTGGGTGGATGTGGTCAACTGGGCCATATCTGGCCTGCAGGCCTCGTGTTTGACCCCTTTGCTTTGGGGGCATCTTCCTTATCAGTCATTCAAACTGGACAGTACTGGTTTTCAATGGTCAAGTTTTAGTACACAGGTAGTTCTTGACGTACAACCACAATTCAGCCCAAAATTTCTGCGCTAAGTGCAGGCCTGAGGAAAGGGGGGGGGGGTTGGTGCAGCTGGTACATCGTTCCGGGGGCCCATGGAGCTCAAAGGGGGCTCATGAAGGGGCAAAGGAGGATGTCAGACCTACAAGCCATCTTTTCTTTTGGGGTTTCAGGCCTGCCACACTTTCTACTGTGGGAAAATGGAGTTGGGTGTCATGTAGCCATAATAACATTCTTCTCAGAAAGTCAAGGTCATTTTGGTCTCTGCATCTGACCGGAACTGGATGGGAGGAATCTGTCTTGGTGGCAGTGAAAGATTGGACCACGGGATGAACTTGTGGGCGTTTGGGGCAGGGTCTTGAACTTTCAACTGGGTGGGAAAACTGGGAAGCTTTCAGATTCGGGTTTTCCCAGATGTGCCAACATGACTTCTCTAATACATTGGAACTTTGAAGAAACACAAGCCTCAGAGTTTTATTTCATTGGGTGGGGGGTGTTTTTTGGAACGCTGACATTATCCTGAATCCCCTTTAAAAATATCTCACCAGTGATAAATAGTAAATAATTTTTAGTTAACTACAATAATAACAAGGAAATGTTAATGGATAATGTTTAATGATATATACAGGTGTGTTGTACTAGTAAAAGCAAATTTATTTATTTATTTATTT